ATGTTTGTCATGGTGTTGTCTGTGTTCTCTTCTGCATGTTCGTCTGGGTCCTCTGTCGTTGTCTGTTCGCCCGTCAATGTTTCTTGGAACGTCTGTCTCACATGCACGCCGATTGGCCATGAAACACACCGTCTCGCACCTTGGGCTGTGACCGACCGACCGCCCGTACGAAACCTAAGCCATCCAAGCAGTTTACTGCTGTAAGCAGACTCACAGCTGACAGAAAACAGTAATACCGTAACGATCACAGGCAATACCTTAGTAATCATCCTCTCACCTGACGCTGCTCTGGCTACTCAAGAGGCTGGCTGTCCTGTCACCTCCAACGCTCTCTGGCTATTGATCTGATGACGAGGTTGCTTTGTATCGCCATGCTGTGTGTTTCTCACCCGAGTTCTGTTCGCCGTTGTACGTGAGGGGCCTTCATGAGACCTCCGACGCTGCTCCTCCTTCACGCTGGGACTGATTTTGAAGGGGGGCTGGGGGCTGCATGCGCTTTTCTGGCGTCTTTTCCGTTTTTGTGTTTCCGTTTTTTTCGGTCGATTTTCGGTCGATTTTTGCTCGGTCGATTGGCAACCCCGGAAGAACCGATCGGCCGAACACACGCAAAAAAAAGTCGCGTACAGCACTCCCCCAGCTGGTGCTTTTGGGGGGGTCGTGAAAACGTATTGCCATGGTTTACGAATGGCCGAAGTGGCCAAGTAAGGAGCGTGTCCCCTTTGTGCCATAGATGGCTTTGCATGGCTGACCGATACGACACACATGCAGTGCAGCAGACACACAGGGAGAGGCAGCATAGCATCGATCAGGTCAGGCGGCCAGTCAGTCACCCGGCCAGCCACCCACAACACGGACAATGCAATGCAGCACCGCCAACCGACAGGAACCATCACCACATCAAAAGTGATCAGAAAAAACACAGGGAGGAATCTGAGGAAAGCCGACGTGCATGTCACCCATTCGGCGGTGCATAAATGCCCATTCTGGTCACAGAGACCAGTGATTGAGTGAGTGTGGGACGAACGTCACAATGGCCACTCATTCAAACAATGGCCAATCACAGGGGCGGCAAAAAACCAGCAACGTGAGAGTCCGTCTTTTTCATGAAACACCGAGAAAAGGACACACACACGCACACCAGCCAGGGCACAGCCATTCTGGCGGGCGCATCAGAGAAAAAAAAGCCGAATGCCATGTGTGCAGTGGTCGGCATATCTCCCTAAGTAAGACCCATTCCCCCATCTCCCTCAGACATATAGAATGCCATAAGTCTTAGATCCGTCAGACGGCCCCACCTCTCCCTGGCTCTCTCCCTCCCTCAATCCTTCCCTCTATGCGTCTGCCATTCACTGGCCGGCAGCCTTTCCCTTGTGTTGTTATCTGCAATGCTTCGCCTCCATCGCTCGGCGATGTCCAATAGCAGCCTGCTTGGCATCCTCATAGCCCAGCTCAGCGATTGAGAACGGCTTCTTCTTCTCTTTGCCGCCCTCCTGCCAGCCGGCCGTCCATGCGTTCGCCCTTTTCTCATAGTAGACGCCCTTGACCCCGCTCTGGTGCTTTGATAGCTTCCTCACCGGCAACCGTCCGGTGCGCTCCAGTTCACAACGATGCTCCTCCGCCAACGCCTGATAGATGGAAGCACACATATGAGACACTCAGAGGGAGAGGGCAAGAGGGGACGTTGTGCGCACCTTGGCTCTGTCGAAGCCATGCTCTTTGACGTAGAAGTCCATGTCCTTTCGCTTCGAGTCGCCCTTCTCGTACCACGATGCCCTCCAGGCCTGCCTCGCGTTGTACCAACTAACTCCCACCACGTCAGACTGATGGTCTGCAGTTGGTACCACACATCAGCAATCGGGTTGCGTTGGATTTGCCTCTTGGTCTCCTCACCGGATTTGGTGACGACGGTCTTCCCCTTTGTGCTGGTCTTCTTGTCGGTGTCGGCGGCCCACTGGGGATTGGACGCATAAGTGGACGACCAGACATCACCGGCAGGCGCCGACGCACCATCCCTCTTGGCTGCCTTGGGCCTCCGTGGTGGCTGGGGAGATAATGAGCGGCTGCCGTCATCAGAGAGGCGGGCCGCCCGAGCCACGCTGCTCCTCTGGCGGGCACGTCGGCCCAGTGTCGCGTCGCCCTCTCGACTCATACGGGGGCGGGTCGGGAGGTGAGGAGCGGCGGGCGGGGCAGGGCGGGGACAGAGAGGGGAGTCCAACGGTGGGTCCAGCCTGGGCCCCTTGCTGCGGTTGTTGCCCCCGTGCTGCGGTTGTTGCCCCCGTGCAGATGAGTGCTGCGGTTGGGAAGCACACCAGGGACGCCGTCTTGCCCCTGCCCCTGCTGTGCTCGCTGCAGCCACGACAGATCGATGAGCATTGCCCGATCGCCCACACGCGACCGGTGGAGCGCATTGCGGTACTCGACAGCCTCACGGAAGGCCGTGAAGATGGCCGCGCGGCAGGCGCCGTAGCCGACAGGGAACTGACGCAGATCGACGGCCGTCGATGCGTCGCTGTCCCAAAAGTAAGCCTCATAACTGTAGTTGCTCCGCCACGAGATCCCGATACTGACACAGATATGACACACAGAGATGCACACGTGACGTGAGAGCGTCATGCACTTGGTCCTGCTCACCCTCCTCTGTCTGATGCATGGAATTCGCCCGGCTGCTGGTCCCTCATCCACCGCACTAGCGCGCGAGCCAGCGCATCGCCCGTCAGTTCTGCCGCCACCTGACGGCCGGCTGGGCCGCACAGCTTGGGAGGGGGGCTGCGGTCAGCCGAGGCCACACGGCCGTTATGGCCTCTATGCCCATCGACAGAGCTGCTTGGCATGTGGCGCTCCTCTGGGTCGGTGCACCCTGACTGAATGACACACACCCAGACAGCCAGAAGAGGGCGTGTGGGAGGGCCTGCTGACCCAATCTGGCGTCTCAGTGCTGTCTGGCTCACCATTATTGCGGTGCGCTGCTGTCGATGCCTTGGCGTGGGGGAGGGGAAGTAGCCCGCTCCTCTCCTCTCTGGGATGCCGCGCCGCCCTCATGGCCTGGGCAGTCACTTGCCCATCAGACGGCACATCCACACCTGTCATCACACACACACACACACACCCCAATGGATGGCAGCCACTGAACGAACGAGTGAGACGCACCTGTTGGCATCCACGGAATCGCTCTCGTCTGGTGGCCGGCCACCGTCACTGTGACGATCTCATACCGACCGCCACTCCCAGGATCGCTCGCACGCACACCCTCCAGCAAAACGGTCAGCGCGGCCATGTCAGACGTCGCGTCAAGCAGGTCGATGTCACTGTCCGACTCGCCGACCGGCCGCCCATTGCTGTCCGTCGGTTGCGTCTCATCGGCGGGGCCGCTGTGATCCATCGCGCCCTTGCGTCGCCGCTTGCTGGTGCGGATCGGTGGACGACTGTCATCATCCAGCTCGAATGACGGGGGAGGGGGGGAGGCGGCCGGCCGATAGTCATAATGTCGTTTCTCCATCTTCCGTCTGTGACAGATGGCGGCCCGCTTGGCCCCCTCATAGCCCAACTTCCTCGCAGAAAAGTTCTTCTCTCTCTGTCTGCCGTCCTCCTGCCATGAAGCCATCCATGAGTTGCTGGCCTTCTGATAGTAGACGCCCTTGACGCCGCTCTGGTGCTCCGATCGTGTCTTGACCGACGCCCGTCCGGTGCGCTCCATCTCACGACGATGCTCCTCGGCCAACGCCTGACAGACGGAGGCACACACGTGAGACACTCAGAGAGAGACAGACGGGACGATTGGAGGCGTTATGCGCACCTTGGCTGTGTCGAAGCCATGGTCACTGACGTAGAAGTACTTGTGCGTCTCCTTCGTGTCGCCCTTCTCAACCCACGATGCCCTCCAGGCCTGCTTCACCTGTTGCCAACGAACACCCGCCACATCCGACTGATGCTCTGCAGTTGGCGGGACACACAAAGGTCAGTGACTGCGTTTGAATTCGCTTCTTGGGTTCCTCACCGGATTTGGTGATGACGGTCTTCCCCTTTGTGCTGGTCTTCTTGTCGGTGTCTGCAGCCCACTGGGGGTTAGACATACAGATGGACGACCAGACATCACCGGCAGGTGCCGACGCACCATCCCTCCTGGCTGCCTTGGGCCTCCAGCGTCGTGAGTGTGGAGATGACGACCGAGAGTCGACGGCCGCCACACTCGACTGGGGCTCGCGCCTGTGGGGAATCGGAGCCTTTCCGGCATCGGACGTTGCTGCTCCTGCAGATGGTGAATCCACACACAACAACCGGTTATTATCTTATACGCGGGTGGACAGTGCGTCCGTACCTGATGCGTGTGGTCTCCGGCCTTCCGTCATGGCTTCCTTATGCATGGTCAGCTGCCCGGCGTCCAGATACGCCACCTCAGCCGATGTGACCGTTTCGTTGGCTGCCTGGCCTCCGTCCGCTGCCGATGGTTGCTCAACGGTTGCCTGCTGCATGGCCGTTCGCCCTGATAATGACTAAAGTGGCTGGCGCGTCGCTTCACAGGCTGGATGAGGGCTCCGCGCTCCTCCGAGCATCAGCTGCCGAGTGACTCGCACGCTGATCCGAGCTCAGCAATGCTGCAAGATCAGCTCGTCGAGTTTGACGGTCTCGGTGAATCACAAGGGCGCCTGAACGTCGCAATCACAAGATCAGATCAGCTTGTTGGCAGAATTGATCGTTGGCTTCAAGCTCGCATATGGCACCTGCTGCTGAAGATTCATTGCGGAGTCGTTTTCGCACTTGGGAGGCATTGTGGTCACCATGCCCCGTTGATTCATCCCGCGAGCTGGCCATGTCGGCAGCAACAGGCGGTTCGAAGAAGCGGAAGGCGAATGACGGTGATGCTGTTGACGCGGCAGGCCAGCCAGCTGATGACCACCACCCTCCCACACCTCAGATCGGCCGTCAGTCACTCGACAAGGCCATCGCCGCAGCCAGCGCCGCCCTCCTCGCCATCGAGAACCACGGGAACTCACTCTTTTGGAATCACGAAATCACAGCATAGAAATCAGACCTTCTTGTCGTCACAGCGCACTTACTATTGAGAGTGAGAGGACGTCGTTTGGCACACGTAAAGAGTGGCCTTTGGCCGTGCTTTTGCGCCCCCGTTTGCTTCTCTGGAGTCACTGGTTGTCGAGATATGAATCAGTCCATGAACCTAAATCATGGAATCAACCGAAGAACGAAATCACCCCTCCTGTACGGGCCTAACGATTTCGATTTCTGATTCTGATTCAATGATTTCCCCTTGGGGTTTAGGGTTAGGGTTTAGGGTCTTATTCCGTGAAACCGCTCTCTCAAACCCTAGAGGTCAAATCAGAACCAAAATCACTTCGCCAGTGGGGGGTAACGATTTCGATTTCTGATTCCGTGATTCCAGGTGCCGGACAATAGAAATCAGCGCTGATTTCTATATGATCACTGTGTGATTTCGGATGCAGAATGGGTTCCCGTGGATCGAGAACGCCGCCAGGAGTGCCCGCCAGCAGCTGCAGACCAAAGCCGAGGCCATCAAACAGCTGATTGAGAACACGGGCGGCAAGTTGGAGCTGACGGGCGGCATCGATGGGGAGCCGGAGGTCAATGTGGGCGGGCGGGTGTTGTGTGTGTCGCGCGAGGGGCTGATGATGGATCAGCTCCGCCGCACCTACTTCGCCCATCTGCTGCTGTACTGTGTGGACGCCCTGCCCCGCGATGAGGAGGGCCGGCCGTTCCTCGACGCAGATCCAAACTATGTCAAGTGGTAGGTCCAAGAAGAATGCGGGTTTGTCTGGTTTGTGTTCATTGCGCTTTGTTTGCTGTCCTTTGTGTTATTCAGGTTGGTCAATGAGATAGCGTTGGTTGAGGGTGCTGACGCCTCAGGCGAGGAGTACGAGATCGAGTTGGACGACACACAGAAGGAGGACCCCACCTTCGCCTTTTACCACGAGCTGTTCCTCACCCAGACCACACTCGAGATCGACGTGCGATCAGAAGACACAGACATGGACGCCAGAGAGGCGGCGGAGGGCAACAAGGAGGGCGGCGACTGCGGGGGGGGCGACAGGAAGGGGGCAGGGGATAGCAACGGGGAGGAGACTGCCGGCAGTCGGCTGCGTGAGTACGTGGATAGCTACAACGATGCGGTGACGGTGCTGGAGAAGGCGGCAGTGCATTTGGGCGGGTTCGGCAAGGCGATGGGGCCCTTCCTCCGAGCAGAGGACGGCGGCGCACACGAGGTGAAGACCGTGACCGTCCTGCGCAAGAAGGTGTCGACCACCGAGGCGACGCTGTCGCAGCTCGGCCCCGATAGCACTCTCTACAAACGATTCAGGTGAGAATGCACCCACGGCACACACATACACTGCCGCTGTGTGGACGCATTGTGTTCTTTCCTCTCCTGTGTGTGTGTGGGGTGTGTACAGTGGTGAGATTGTGCAGGGCGACGTACCCATTCGCCAGACATCCGTTGAGCACTTCACGAAGGTGACACACACGCACACACACACACACACACACAGGAGTGAGAGAGAGAGAGAAGGAGGGCACACTGTAAGTCCTTCTGGCGGCCATTCAGGTGGTGGATTTTGCCCGAAGACAGAAGCTCGAGAGGCGACCCGGTGCCCTGGTCAAGAAGCCCACAGCCAAGCCAAAGTATATCGCTCAGCTGAAGGTATCGCTGATCCGTCCACACATGACTTCATCAAGGCGGCCATGAGCACTCAACCTGTGTGTGTGTGTGTGTGTGTGTGGAGAAGGATGTTGAAATGTATGGCCTCACGATGGAGGACGTGCAGCGGCCCCTCTCACCCATGCTCGACATCGAGGAGACGCGTGAGGTGCTGGCCATGATGGAGATACCCAACCCCTCAATCAAACTCCTCTACAGGTAAGCAGAGACAGCAATCTGATCTCTTTGCGACACCATCAACTTATTACCCTTTTCTACTTTGCTCTCTGTCAGTTCGACGCGTGACGGTGGTGACTTCGTCACGATGGTGGACAAGGTGGGCGACGCGAGCAGTCTGCTGTTCCTCGTCAACCACGACGACACATACCGATTCGGCGCCTTCCTTGAGGGCCAACTCAAGCCGCCCACCGACCCCAAACAGACTAATGGTTACAGGTTGCCGCACTTCCTCATCTCGATCTCCGGTGCGTACGCGACACCCACGAAGGTGCTCATTCCCATGACCAGGCAGTTTGTGCACGTCGCCGGCCGCGACGCATCCATCAAGGGCATTAGGGACTCACGTGGCAAGGTGGGTGGAGGGTATACACAATTAGTGTCACTGCAGTGAATGGCACTGGACCAACTGACTGGTTGTCACATGTCTTGTGTGCAGTTGTCTTTTGGCTGTGGGTATCTGCGGTTTGGGTGGGCCATCCCCGGCCCCTCGGATGACGTGCGCAGCATGCATCATGGCGTCAAGAAGGACGACCTTCCCGATGGCTACATCGGCCAACGCAACGACAACGGCGACGGCATACTGGCTGGGGGCTGGGACTTCACCGCAAAGGAGATCGCCATCTACCAGGTGAGGTACCGAGGGGAAGGCAGAGACACGACGAACGTAGATGAAGATGCACTGATGACTGACTAAATGAATGCGTGTGTGCTCTGTAGGTCAAGTCGGCATGAGTGAAGGGACAGCCACTGTGGCAGCAGCACCGGAAGACATAGCTTTGCACAGAAATGACAGACCGATTTCCGTGTGGGCGTGGATGGATGGATGGACCTTCATGGCTGTATGTCTCAATTTTGATTCACGACCCTGCAGTCCGTTGACACACACACCAGGCAACCTGGTGAGTCTGTGGATAGCGTCAGTGACCGTCTCAACAACATGCACACGCCACGCCTCCGCCCCGCCACCCTGTCAGACCCTCTCCATCCATCCATCCATCCATGTCTGTCCGTCCGTCCGTCCGTCTGTCTGTCTGTCAGTCTGTCCCCACACGCCAGCATCACCACGCCCTCACATCTGGATCCCAGACCGAACAGCAGTTGATGGCGAACTCTTCTGCAGGCACATAGGATGACCCCCAGCTGCCTGAATGCCGCCCACGATGAGCTCAGGCCGCCTCGACCCAGCGCGACGGCCCATGCTTGGCTGCTGGTGGACCACTGCCGTGACGCCACGTCATGCCCGCCACGCCCTGCACTGCAGCAGCGGACCGCACTCCTGAGGATGTCCGCCCATGTTCATGGCTCGACGACTTGGGAGGCCTCCGCTGTGGTCGGCTTGTGCGGCATGTGGGGGGACAGGACTGACAGGCTGACGTCGCGTCACAGAAAGTAGATGGAAGGGGGCGGCCGGGGGCGTCAATGGTGTGGGGGTGCCTGGAGAGGGAGGGAGAGGGACAAATGCAACACACACACAGGTGGGATGGATGCATCCGCGTGTGTCGGTGTGCTATGCTGACCTGAAGGTGCGTTGCAGCAGGATGGCGCATTGGCCACCTACATTCACACCGCGGTGAAGAACTGGGCGCCGACCTTTCCTGAACACGCAACACATGGCAGCCACAATACATGAGAGGGAAGGCACGGTGTTATTCTGAGTCGTCCATTTCTCGCCCACCCGTACCAGAGTGCACTATTCGCGAGCCACATGTTGCCCATCTTGGCATGCCCCTCGTCGCTTCCACCCAAGATCATGCCGATGTGTGGGAGTCGACAGCGCCCGGACCACATTAATCGTCTGGCATGGCGATCCTCTCCCACGCTGCCACGGTCCTGTCCACCCTCAGCCGCCACACGTCGCCTACCACCCGCCCGCCGCTTCCAACTCCTCCACTCAGGAAATCCTCGTTCTGGCCGCTGCTGTAGCTGCCGACCTGACACATGGCGTGTCTGTAACCAGAGGGGGGGTGGTGGAAGTCTGCCTTTCTTCTCTGCCGACCTGCATTGTTTTCAGCTGCCGTGGCGCTTCTCGAATACGACTTTCTTGGCGTCATACATCAGCAGACCCCTCGACCTTGCCAACTGCCTTGGACCAAACACACACGGCCTTGAGGGGTCGGCGAGGGCGACAGCCACACGATACAGCTGCAAATGGGAGGCATCATCCAGCCCCTGCGTGAGGATAGCAAGCAGTGTCTGCAGATGGAGGTGTGTCGTCTCTCTCTCTCTCTCTCTCTCTTTGTGCCTTCACTCACCTGTTGGCCGATGTCCGTCCATGTCAACAGTGGCAGATCCATCCCCTCGTTCCTCTTCCCATCATCATGCGGCCGCCTCTCTCCAGCCTCACCGACGAGCAGCTTCTCCCCCACAACTCGCCGAAAAGTCGCCAGGAAGCGGTCGATCTGAACCGTGTTCTGCTCCACCGTCCTTGGCAATGCCCACAAGCTGAGGCAAGGACTCGGTCGTCAAACAAACGGGACGGCGCGTGTAGCCGCAGAGCGCCGCGGACGGCGATGACCTTGCGCTTTGCAAAAGAGTTGGCGCCCGACTGCTTGAGGCCGCAATGGTGAGCCATAGAGAGAGATGAGAGTCTGTGACACTCGATGTGAAGGAGATGAGCTGATGGTCGTCGGCTGGTGACGCTGGTGGCTGGGACTGGAAGTCGTCCTTTGCCGCCTCGTATAAGGCACTCCCTCGGCTTCATGGCGCCCGAAAGGGAGCCGAATGACTCAGTGCCGTCGCAGCTGGTGTCATCATCGGTCACGTCGTTGGGTGAGTGGCTGACGAAGAGCAGCCGACGAAGAGTGGCCGACGCGGGATGGGGCGGCCGGGGCCGTCGAGGGTGTGGATGCGCCTGGAGGAGTGGGGCAACAAGGGGGGCGGCATCAGGGGGGTCTTCTGGGTCTTCCCGTAAGGTGAGTGGGTGGCCGCTAGATGATGAAACAGTCGGTCGAAGAGCTGCCTGTGCACCCTGGCAAACACACGCAGACGGGGAGGGAAGGCATGATACTGACCGCTTGTGGCACTGTGATGGCGTGATGTGTGCATTCTGACCTATAGCTGAGCTGCATCTTGACGAGATGGTTGTGTACGCCCTGCAGGAAGCAAAGAGATAAGGAAGGGATAGCACATACATGCCCGTGAGTGTTTGTCTGCGTGTGGAATACCTGCAGGCGCGTTGGGGTTGATGCCAGTGACAAGCAAAGGTACTCAATTGTTCTGCCAAAATAGACGCACATACCAATCTATCAGCTGTCGTCATGTGTGTCCCCTCCTCGGCTCACCAAGCGAAACGTGTGGACTTCGCCCCTGTGTGCCATCTATGTGTGTGTGTGATGATTGCAAAAGCGAGCAAAGAAACGGAGGGGCGAACCTCCCAACAAAACAGATGACCTGCCCGTGACCTAATCACCCTTCCCGGCCCCCATCACTCAAAACCCATTCCCTCAAAGCGGGAAACCGAGAAACTGACTGGGGGGCAAGGCAGTCGATCGTCCGAAGCAGAAGCAGCCGATTCTCACTGTGCCTTCCCCTTCTCTCTCACTCACCCATTGCCCTTCAGTCAGGCTGAGCCTGCTCATCACTGCACCTCATACAACCACACGGATGTAACTTCACCGAAGCCCTTCCCCACCCCCCACTCACTCAGGTTCAGGCTGGCCACCACCAGACAGACAGACAGACAGACAGACATACGGGCGGACGACAAGGCACGCAAACAGACAGGCAGAAAGGCAGCCGTCAAGAGCTCCTTCCAGCCACATGCAGCGCAGCCACACACAACTACACACCACAAATGGGAATGCACAAATCGTATGGGAATGCACAAATCGCACGAGAAGCGAAGTAGCAGGCCCATCAGTGCATTGCACTGATTCGGCCCGGTCAGTCAGTCAAATTAACCACTCAGCCCAGCCCAGCCCATCGACAACGTACACGTCACCCTTCCCCCTGCCCTGCCACCCATCCCATCCGCCCATCCATCAGTCCAAATATCAAAAACAGCGGTGCCAACACTCGACCGACGCACCAGCACCCACACGCACCAAGCCCCTCTCCCCTTCCAGCGCGCCTCACCTGGCGCAGCATTTGGACCGTCGGCCCGCCCTCGCCTCTCTCGCCGGCAGGGGAAGCCTGGCAGGCTGCGGTGGGGGGAGCTGTGGCAGCCAAACCGGCGGCCGCGGAACCATCTGCGACGAGACGAGATGCCGCGGGAGGAAGTGGATGTGGGAGGGAGGATGCCCGATGAGGGGAGGGGGGATGAGGGGAGGGGGCGGGCTGACGGGCACAGGTCGTGCAGCGGCAGGAGCGGCAGAAGCCGGAGATGGCCGAACAGGTTGTGGCATGGCCGGAGGCGGCATGATGGGGGTCTCCTGCGGAATGAGGTCACTGTCTTGGTCCTCCAGGTCTTCCGCCTCAGCCCTCCCACGCATCCTCATGGCTGAAACGGTCTGCCGGAGCCTGCTGATGGTCTCTTCGGACTCAATCCTGGCGAGCAAGCAAGGGCGGTATGAAAAATCGGTGTGTTCTTACTGGCTGACTAACCGACTGACCTTTCGACCTCCAGCGAAGTGCGTGCGTCCCGGAGTTGGCTGCGCGTCTCCTGCAGGGTGTCACGAACCGCCTGCAGCTCCCGCTCGTGCGCCCCCTGCAGCTCCTCCACGTCACCATGGAACGCCGCCTGAAACGGACATGCAGAGAGCAAAAGGAAAGACGAATAATACACATCCGTGAGCGGATTGATGTGTCCCATCCACCCACGCACCTGCATCTCGTTGAGCTCCTCGTCTTGCTCAGCCAGACGGTTCTGCAGGCGGGCGATGCTTGCCCTCATGGCCAGCCTCACCACAGCCTGCAGGCCGCTCCACGCACCCTGCAGCTGGCGCCGCTGCGGGGCCTGCAGGCTGCTGGCCAGGCGGAGGGGGGCCGTCTCGTCCTTGGCGAGTCGCAGCTCGTTGGCAAGACGCATGGTGGCTGTGGTGGCGCCCCGATGGGCCGTCTGCAGCCGCTCCAACTCCTGCGTCTTGGCCGCCAGCGCCTTGCCGAGCTCGCCCTTCTCCTGCACCAGCCGGCTGAAGCACCCATCACACAGAAAAGCATAGCAGCATACAAGTCATGTGCTCAAGATGTGGTAGGTACCTACCGGATTGCGTCGTCGCGCTGGTTGACGTCGTCCGACAGCTCTCTGCGCCGCCGACTGGCGAGGTCGAGTCGACTCTCCAGCTCCCTGTCAGTTGACACAAAGCCAACAAGACAAAGAGCACATCCATCCATCCATCCATGGACGATGCAGCTGTGTCGTTTCGTCGTTCGTTATCACTCACTCGCACTGGGCCTTGTGCTCGTGCAGCTCCGCCTGGTGCCGCCGTGTGGCCTGCTCCATGGCGGCGTTGAGGTCGCGGTGAGCCTCCTCCAGCCCCCTGAAGTTACAGAGTCAAGCAAAAGGCAAGGAAAGGATGACGCCACGTCAGCTTGCGTGAATGCATCGTTGTGGAGCTTACCAGAGCTCGTATTTGACCTCCATGAGCTCCTTGTGGTGCTCTCGGCGGGCTGTCGTCAGCTCACTGCGGACGGCCTCGAGCTCCCTGACGAAATACACAGTGATGAAGATGAAGCGCACACTGTTAATTTTAATGTGTCTGCGCTGCCTACCGCTGCAGTGCGCTCTCGTCTTAGAGCCTGGCGAGCTCGTCTTTCAACTTGTTGAGCTCGGACCTGCAACACAACACACCACAGCAAGAGATGGATGACTCCGTTTCGACCAAATGGGACAGGGGGAGACTGCTCGTGGGTGGACGATTCTCTCACGTACTCACTGACACCAGGAGAGAACACACAACACACAAAGAAGGACACAAATGACATTTCTCTCTGTTTTCGTATCCAATTGGCTTACTGCAATGTGGCGCACAGCTGGCTGTCAGCCTCTTGGTCCTCGTGCTCGTGCTCGTAGGCCACCAGAAGCCGCCGCAGCTCCTCGACTCGGCTCTCGCACACAGCCGTCTTGCCCCTCGCCCTCCGCAGCTCGCCCCTCGCCCTCCGCAGCTCCTTGCGCAGCCTCGAGTTGGCGACTCGCAGGTGCTGCCGGGCTTCGTACTCCCCCCAGTCGTACGAAGCCCAGTCATCCTCCTCATCGTCGCCCTCGTCGGGCCGCTGCCACTCGTCGGAGCCCTCATGCTGCCCGCCTCCCTCCCGGCTGCTTGTCCCACCATCCGTCCTGCTGCTGCCCGTCATCACCGGGTGTGAGGGGAGGGATGGGGGAGGGGCGGGAGCGTCGTACGACGCCCCAGCAGACGGTGGCGATGACGGGTGGGGCGCCGATGCAGTGGCGCCGTCTGCCGTGGGAGCGGCTGGGGCGCCAGGTGAGAGTGCGGCAGGGGGTGCGGGTGCCTCGTGGTGGGTCTGGGCCGCATGCTGGGCAACAATGTGCCTGAGCATCTGCCACCCCTCGTCAGTCAGGCCCGCCATCTGCTGCATGAGCCGTGTTGTGGGCGGATGGGTGTAGACGGCCTCCGCTGCTGGGTGGTGCGTTGGGGAGGGGAGGGAGAGGGGAAGGGGCGAGGCGTCAGAGGCGGATGAGGGTGCGATGGCGGCAAGAGGGGTCGAGTCATCATGCGAGGGTCCAGGATGGGACGGCATGATGCCCAGAAACTGACATTCATCGACAGGAACACACGAGAGGTGATTCCACTGTCTGAAATGAAAGAGTTCTGCCTATTGTGTTCCGTTGCGCACCTCCCGGTCTTCGTCTTGCTCGTCGGGACCGATTGCTCGCACGGGCGCTGGCGCTGGGTGCTGATCTCCACTGCGGCTGTGCTGCATCATGTCCTGGGCGGCGTCTGGCTGATCCGGGCTCGCATTGTTGTCACTGTCATGGCGTCGAAAGCGGCTGGACGGCTCAGCGTGCTTCTTCATCGAAACTCAACAATTTCCCGGCTTAGCTCGCAACTGAGGCGCGCAGACCGAAACCGCTGCTGCAGGGGCGCAGGCGTGTGATCAGAATCTTTCGTTCAAGCTCAGCCACTGACTCATCCCTGTGCGTCGTGATGCTCGAGTTGATTGGCGGATGCGACACCATCGATGGCGACTTCGATGCGTCAATCGAGCGGCTCACGATGGCCAAGAGGGCGCTGACGGATGAGATCTCGCGGCTTGTTGCTTCGCGAGGCGGCGTGTCGCACCTTGCCGAGACCATTGGCGAGATGCTCGTCAATGCAGGTGTGCAGGGGAGGGGCCACGTGGGGTGTCCCAGTGATGATGTGATTGTCTGTGTTGGTCGTCGTGTGTGTATCGAACGATCAGGTGGCGTGGTGTTCCCTGTTTCCCGTCGTGCGCTTCTTCTCCCCTGCATGAAGCATCGCTACATCTCGGTCCTGCTGATGCACTTCTCTGACGGCCTCCCGCGAGATGCCGACGGCCATGTCTATCTGGAGACCTCACCTGCATACTTTGAGGCTTTGCTGGACGAGCTGACACTCTACGAGACTGGCCGCACCAACACCGTTGACCTCCCGCCGTCCAAGGCGGCCGACCCGGCTTACAGCGAGTACCACTCCCTGTTCATGCGCGAGCTGCCATCCTTCTCAGCTCCGACACACAGCAGCCGCGGTGCCGCCACGACCAAGGCGGTCGATGGCGCATGCGACGAGAAGGCCCTAGCGGATGTCATCCAGACGTCGCTGAGCGACCTGGAAAAGGTCATGAAGAGGCTCACGCGGCGCAGGGAGGAGGTGGTCCGATTCCTCTCGGCCATGGAGCCCTTCATGAAGGGCCAAGACGACACTGGAGACGACCTGGCGGTGCTGAGTCTGAACGTCCTCGGCCGGCAGGTCGTCATCCAGAGGCGCACGCTGTTGCGATTGGGAGCCGACCATCCCCTGCTGACACGATTCTCAAAGTGGGCACACGCACAAAGGGCAGACGGGGCAGCACAGCAGGTCACGTTGGGTGCCTTCGGGTGTCTATGTGTGGTTGTGCAGTACTCCGCCTCGCTGGGGCGATCGCCGTGTGCGTCAGACCCCCACCAAGCACTTCGTCAACACAGTCGAGTTCGCTCGGCGATGCGCCTGCATGCCCAAGGACCAGCTCATCCGGCCCCCGCTGATGGACGAGAGCGAGCGTGAGCTCTTCAAAGAAGATTTGGCGATGTATGGGCTCACTTACTCGCCAATCCTGGACCTGCCGGCCGGCCAGGAGTGGGTCATGCAGTCGACAGAGGAGTGGGTGGCCGTCCTCGACCTAATGGACAGGCCCACATGCAGACCATCGCTGCTCTTCAAGTGGGCTGGGGACTCACGAAGGCTCCACGATCTTGAATGGAAGCGGCTTTCCCTTGTTTGTCAGGTCTGGCAGTGACGGTGGTGACTTCGGCACGCTGCTGCAGAAGGTGGGCGACGCGAGCGGTCTGCTGTTCCTCGTCAGCCACAACGATACACACCGATTCGGCGCTTTCGTCGACGGACAACTCAAGCCGCCCAGCACACGGACCAATAAATACAAGGTGCCCTCCTTCCTCATTTCGATCAGCGGGGCATACTCTCGGCCGACCAAGGTGCCCATCCCCGAGGCCAGACAGGTGGTCGAGGTCGCCAGCCGCGACGCGTTCATGAAAGCTAGAAATGCGGACTCACGTGGCAAGGTGTTAAGAGGGGAGGGGGGGAAGAACAAAGCAGCACAAACAGAAGGACACGGCTATTACATTACTGCGGACAGTTGTATTTGAGTGACGGGTACCTGTGGCTTGCGTGGGCCACCCCCGGCCCGGCAGATGACGTCCGAAGCATGCATCAGTGGGTCAAGAAGGAGGACTTGCCCGACAAGGACTACCTCGGCCAATTCAACGACCACAACGACGAATGCACACTGGCGGGAGACTGGTACTTCACCGCCAAGGAGATGGAGATATGGCACATCGAGACCGCCAGGGGTGGTTGGTTTGAAGAGGCAGCACCGCACGCTGCTGTCGAGGTCGGGTCGAGGAAGCCGAAGGGTTTCATCAGCTGGCTGTGGCGGCGGGGAGATGAATAAGTAGATGGCCGATAGTTGCGCGTGGATGCGTGGTAGGGGCCTGGCAGTCCTCCTGGTTGAGTGTGTGTGTGTGAGTGTGTTTTTCGTGCGAGTCGACCGTGGCATTAGTCGTTTTTGGCTCTCTGACCCTCCCGTGGCCTCTATAAGTACTCTCTCATGGTTTTTGCTGGCGTGAACGGGGGAAGGGTCAGAAAGCGGGCCCATGTCCGTCTGCCTGTCTGTCTGTCTGACTGACTGTGTGTATGCGCGACAGACAACAGGTGACACCGACCAGTGGTTTATTTCGCCGTCTGCATATCTGTGGAAGTGTGTCTTCCTTTGCCTCACCTGCCGTGTGTGTACAGTAAATATATCGACACGACGTGCCCCTGCGTGGCTCCATCCACCCATCCGTTCATCCGATGATCCGCCGTGCTTGTGTGTGTCCGTGTGGTGACATGTCTTGTATCGCGACTGACAGACTGACAGACAGACAGGCAGGCAGACAGACAGACCGGTCGGTCCGTCCAAAAATACATTCATGGATGAACAGATGGATGGATAGATGGATTCTCAGTCGATGGCCATGTTGGTGTGGGTCTCATGATCGACCACTCTGCATATCAACGGGACGGTGCGGCAGCAGTCAATTTATCAATCAATCAATCTGCTGCTGGCCCGACACACTGCATGATGGCGCATTGGCAGTGAGTGCAGTGAGTGAATCGCGGGATATGTATGTGTGTGTCTCTCTCCGTCCGGCACTAGATGTGCTTGTTAACGAAGTCTTTAACTTCCTCCGTGTCCGTTCATTCTTTGGGCCTCAGAGGCTGCGCACGGCGCAATAGCAAATCGAAGAGGGAGGCAGGAGATTCTCTTGCAAACCAGCAAAGGTGGCTGTCTGTCTGGCTGTTTGGCTGTATGGCCATGGGAGAGAGGGAGAGAAACATGTCATACGAGAGGGGCCGTGTATGTCTGTGTGTGTGTGTGCGCGCGTATTTCTCGCCTCTCGCTTTAATTGTCTGCCCGCCGTTTCCATGCCGCAGTCCATTCCCGAGGGGCCGTGTGTGTGTTGTGCAGCTGACGCAGCATGCATCAGTGGGTCGAGAAGGACGACCTTCCCGATGGCTACCTCGGCCAACGCAACGACAACGGCGAAGAGACCATTTTGCCTCCAATGAGATCGCAATCTATCACGTGAGTGCCTTCACTGCGTGATCTTCAGGTGAAGTCGGGCTGAGTGAGTGAGAAGAGGAGCCATTGCGATGACGACAGCAGCGGCAGAGATGTATGGCCTCACACACATGTCGACATGTGCGTTGATTGATGGACGGACCTTCATGTGTGTGTCGTCGTTTGCATGTCTCATCAATTTTGACCCACACGCGGCTCCCTCGTGGAAAGTGAATCGAGAAAACACAAGAAGCCGAGAGAAAGCTGAGCTGTGTCTCACACACCACGCAGCACCGTATAAGGGATACACACACACATACACACACACACACACCATTCTGGTCACAGAGACCAGTGAGTGAATGTCAATGGGTCAGTGTCACGGCCTCTGCCCATGACGTGTCGGCAGAGGCGGGAAAACTCACATTTGCCAAACAGCCATATACACACGCGCCCACACCCACACCCACACCCGCGCCCATTGAAAGCAAACCGGACATTCAAACACACTCCCACACAGACGGGAACGACACACACACGCCCCGATTAAAGGAACGAGCCAGCAACAAAGAACAACACAGCCTATCTCTCTATGTCTGTCTGTGGGTCCGTCTGTCAAGATCGCTTCAAAGCCTGACATTGCACTCGAGCAGGGTGTTCTCGAAGGGCTCCAGGGTCACCCGCATCATCCCGTCCGCATCGATGGTGCCCCGCCTGCCCTTCTTGCCGTCGTCACGGCCGTTAAACACCTTGGACCCTGACCGGCTCGACGGCTGCACACAAAGACACACACAGTCACACTGATGGTGGAGGGGCGTGCGTGTCATCTGTATGTGAATACTGACCGTTTCGAAGACATCCTTCCAGTCTGCGATGCCGATGAGGGTGCCGGGGATCTGGTCGGTAGACGGGCGGGGGACGGATGGACACATAAGGCCTTGTGTGGAAGAGAGTGTGTGTTGTGTGTGTGTGTGTGTGGGGGGGGGGGTGTCACCTGTATGGTGCGTCTGTATTCGGATCGGTTGAGGATGCCGATGAAGGCCTTGAGCGCCAGGAAACGGCTCATCACACACGTGTGCGTGTCAGCCACCAAGATCTGACAAAAGACGGGAGGGGGAGAAAGGAACCAATGTCATCAGATACAGCATCTCTCTCTCTCTCTCTGTGTCTGTGTGTCTGTCCGTCCGTCTGTCTGTCTGTCTGTGTGGTTGTTGGTTACTTTGAAGGAGCCCGTGTGAAGGGCCTTGTGGCTCCTCTTCAGGTAGCAGAGGGTCCTGTAGAGGTGGTAGTGCTCACTGTTCCACTTGGACCTGTCCCACTCTGATATTAACACACACACACACACCGACCTTCATGTGCGTGTCTGTGTGCCGCTAAATGAGATGACTGACCCATGCAGTATCTGCATCCCTCGAGGCTCCCCAGCCGCCCCGGTATGCCTATCTCGTCGCCATAGTATATGCTGGGCGTCCCTGGCAGCAGGAACTGGGCTATTATCATCCCTGCACACATACCACACCACGCACACAATGAGGACTCCATGACGGCCTGTATGTGTGTGTGTGCGTGTGTGTGTGGGGGGGAGGGGGGGGGGTGTCCGTCAGGTGACCTCTGTAGAGGTCCCACTGGTAGGCCTCCGGGTGGTTGTGGAATCGGTGGATGTCGTGGCTGCCCATGAGGTTGAACTGCAGCCACTGCAGCTGGTTGGGCAGCCGCAAAAGGTTCTGCAGGATCTGCTCGGCCACCTGAACACACAGACAGACAGACAGACAGACCGCACCATTTATCCATCTGGACAGGTGCGTGTGTCAGGCCATGTCAGGTACCTCAGTGCCTGTGGGTGCGGGTGATGTGGGCGCGGCCTCGCCATTGGATGTGAGCAGGGCCGTGAAGTGGTCGGCCTCACCGGCGAACCGACGCAGTGGCCGGAGGCACCCGAAGTAATTCTGCAGGAGACGACACACACACACGCACACATACGCACACATACGCACACATAGCGACGTGCTGCGGTGCGCCGTCTGTCGGTGGTACCATTGATGAGTCCCACTGGTCTCCCTGGCAGTACTCAGCATAGTCCTCCCAGTGCTCGCCTGCACACACACACACACAGGCAATGCCGACAGGCAGGCGCGTTGCTGTGTATGGTATGGTGTCTTGTGCGCCACCACACCGACCGACCGATGATGTATGCGTTTCTCTTCTCGCTCTTGACGGCCGTCCGCACCGCTCGCCAGATGTCATTGGTGTACTGGTCAGAATCACGCCGACCTGCTCACACACACAACACAACATACAGCATATCATTCACACACACCTGCGCACGTGCCAGCTCGCATGGCACCTGTTTCCGATCCGACGTCAAACCGCCAGGCGTCGATCCCGAAGCGGATCCAGTGTTTGACGAGGCAGTGGGGGTTGTGTGGGTCGATGAGCTTCTCGCGCAGCAGGTGGGAGCCGAAATTTAGCTGGGGGAGGGTCTTGACGCCATACCAGCACGCGTAGTCGCCGTTGACATCCTGACCCAGACAGACAGACAGACAGGCAGACAGTTTAGAAGGATTATTGGCTGCTGGTTCTGGTCCTTACTCGGTAGTAGTATCCGGCTTCCTCTGACATGGGGTCGGCACAGGCCGTTTTGAACCACTGGTGCTCGAGGCCGGTGTGGTTGATGGACACGTCAAGCATCAGGTACATCCCCGCTCGATGCAAGTCGCCTATCAACCGAGCTGAAGACCAAAGACCACACAGCATCCACCATCCATCCATCCACACACACGGATACGGATCTTCCCATACACGGCTACTTACCGAGTGCGTCATTGCCCCCGATATGCGGCTCGACGTTGAAGTAGTCGGTGCAGTCGTATCGATGAGTGGTGCGGGCAGCGAAGATGGGATTCAGGTACAAAGCGTTCACACCCAGCTCTTTGAAGTAGTCGATCGACTCGCGGATGCCGTCAAGATCGCCGTTGTAGAAGTCCTGACACACGCAGCCGCAGACACTCGTGTGGTGTGGTCTGCAGCTGGTGCGTGTTCGTTTCGCGTGTGTGCTCACTCACCATGCACCACCCCTCCTTGTACTCGAGCGGCTCCGAGCCCCACTCCATTTCCAACGCGGGATGGCCGTCGAAGTCATACTCGTTCTGACGCACACCCAGGCCACCCTCCTTCCGCCTACACACACACATACACACACATACACACACCACACGACACCCACACAGGCAGATGAACAAACGCCTAGGTCCATCCATTTGTCTCACTTCCTGAATCGGTCTGGAAAAATCTGGTAGAAGACGGCGGAGGGGACCCACTCGGGGTGCTCGAAGTCCGACATGATGAGGAAGTTGAAGGCCTCCGGAGGGTGGATCTTGTGCACGCCCCGCCGCGTGTAGAAGATGAGGCCCTCAGTGGTCTCCAGCACAAAGTGGTACGACAGTCGGGACTGACGGAAGGTGAACTCACACCTATATTGAGAGCAAGCAAAGAGAGAGAGGTGTGCTGAGTGGGCGAGGGAGGAGTGGGTAGTGTGCACCTACCTGTAGATGCTGAACACGGTTGTGGTGGCGATGGCGTCGCTGACCAGGTGCATCCGGATGTGGTGCGCTGTGCCATTCAGAATGGCACGCAGGAACACCTGTCAACGGTTCAATGAATGCCACACAGAAAGACAAGGGTCCGGGCGCGTGTGTGTGCATCCATCCATCCATCCATCCATTCATGTGTGTGCGTCTGCTTACTGTTTTGACTTGGTCTGTCTTGAGGAACCTGAGATCGAGGGTGATGGTGTCAAGGAAGGAGGGGTAGGGGTTGGACACGAAGTCAGCTGCAACACACATAGCAGGCAGACAGACAGACAGACAGATAGACAGACACACAGACACGCATCACTGCAATGACTTAGCATTTCACTCACTGTTGGTCTCATGGAAGATGGAGTCGACCCATCTTAGCTTGATCTCCCCTCCGCCCTTCCGCCACGCCACCCCGCCGCCCTCACCCTCCTCGCGCTGCTGATGGTGGTGCGATAACGTCTCGCCCATCGACACAAGTGCAGATCTTCCTCCTGTGAATAAATCGCTGTGACAGCAACACTGCAGGCACTGCAGCAGGGCGCTTCGTCGCTTTGCTTGAGCCGAGAACTTGCGAGCTTGAAGCCGACACACTTTTGAGCTCGCAGCTCTTGCAAACCGAGAAGCGCAGCCGGTAAGGGAGATGGGGGAAGGTGTGAGAGCGACGCAGTGAGGAAAGACGGGATCTGTGACAAACACAGGCACAGACACAGACACAGACAGACAGACAGTCAGGCAGCCGAGCGAGACAGTCAGTCGCACAGCGTCCAGCAGCCACCCGCAGACGCAGGCACTCGCTTCGCCGTGCAAGATGCATCGACCCCTGTGCTTGCTGTGTGCTGTTTGTCTCGTGTGTGTCACAGCCTCAGAGGTGTCGGTCGCTGCGTGGTAGTGGCTGAGAGTGACTGACCTCTGTTTGTCTGTCGTGATCTGATCACTCAATCGCCATGGAGGTACGCCGCCAAGCGAACAAGGCTCATGCACACGACGCACACGGCACATGTGCACCTGTGTATTGCTGACCGACCGACCCATCAGGCTGGCAGCAAGTTTTGGGCCAAGGGCGGCGGGTCGTCGTCGGAGGAGAGCGAGGAGGAGTCAGAGGAGGAGGAGCAGCAGGTGGGAGGCCTAGGAATGTCGTCACTCGCATCTCCTGCTCATGGGCTGGTTGGTTGGTTGGTCGATTCGTTCGTTCATCAGGTGCAGCTGCGTCCCGGGCTGGCCAAGTGGGCAGTGGAGTCGTCGAGTGATGAGGACGAGAAGCGCGTGGTCCGCAGCGCACGCGACAAACGATTCGACGAAATGAGAACCGTACGCTCACACAGATTCACGTGAATCACGTGTACGCGGTGACGCTGTGGGATGTCTCGAGTATATGTGTCTGTCTGTGTGCTTGATTGTCTTTGTCAGGCGGTGCACAACATGCGCAACCACATCCGCATCGGCGACTTCTCTGAGCTGCTGACCGACTACGAGGATTTGCTGAAGAGCCTTGTCAAGGCCCGCCAGATCGTGGACGAACAGGGCAAACCAAAGTTCTTCGTCAAGGCCATTTACGAGCTGGAGGCAAGCAACGAAGACAGACGCATCTATGGCTGCGTGTGCAACGGTGTGTATCTGTGTGTGCAGGAGTTCATATCGACGACGTATGCAGACCGCGTTGCCTTCAAGAAGCTGAGCAAGAGCAAGGCCATCGCCTTCAACACGCTGAGGAGCAAGGTCCGCAAGGGCAACGAGGAGTTCCGCGAGGACATCGACCACTGCAGAATGGTCAGTCGCTTGGCGCGGACGCCGACTGACCACACGGATGGCTATATCTATGTGTGTGTGTGTGTGTGTGTGGTGGCAGGACCCCGACGTGTACGACGAAGACGAGGAGGGCGGCGACGAAGACGAAGACGAAAGCGAGGTAACCTAACCTCACTCTCTCGCCCTCTCCTCATCCCCCCACCCCGCAATCGCTGGTGTGCTGGTGTGTGTGGACGTACCCATCTTAATCAATCAGTCTGAGGAGTCTGACGAGTCAGAGGAGAGCAGCGAGGAGGAGGGCGGCGGGGCCAAGGCCGGCAAGGACAAGGACGAAGACGAGGAAGACGAATCGGAGAGCGAAGACGAATCAGACTGGGACGATGACGGTAAGCACCTATAAATGTACGCTGTACTCACACACACACACACACACACTCGCATGGTGGTTGGCTGCAGAGAACGAGGAGGCATCGGACACCGAATACGCCGACAAGCACAGCAAGGCCCTCGCCAAATGGGGGTACGCTGCCTGTCTTGTCTGCCTGGCAAAAGGGGGAGGGAGAGCAGAGCGACATTATCGTATACATATTGTGGTGTCTGTGTTTTGCGTGCAATGCAGCGCGAAGGGCGGTGGCGGTGAGGAAAAGAAGCCCAAGAAGACCGAGGAGGAGAAGAAATTGCGACAGGCAGACAAGAAAAGTGAGCCAGCCAGGGAGACACACAGAGGGGATAGACAGAGGGAGATGAGCATGTGCATTGTGTGTCCCTCTCTGCTGCTGCACAGTCAAGGAGCCCAAAAAGATCAAGCGGGAGAGAATCGCCGAGTACGCACACACACGTGTGCTGCAATCATGCAGATCAAAAACATCACACATTCACACACGCCACACCGGCATTGTCCCGTTGGCAGGGCCGAACGTGACATGGAGAATTTCGTCGGCTTTGAAGCCATCGATTCGCCGTCGGCACTCAAGAAGAGCGTCGCCGAAGTCATCGCATCACGGTCACTCAGCACACACACACCACACCACACCACAGCCAAGTGGTGCACACCCGTCCTCGCCGTCTGCTGTGCGCTTGTGGTTGTGCAGAGGCCGCAAGGGCACTGACCGTCAAGTGCTCATCAAGTACGTGGCAGCGAGCCAGGAGAAGGAAGGGAACCTGCACACGTGTCGAATGTGTCTCGTTGGCTGTGCCTGTCTGGTCTGCAGGCAGCTGACTCGTCTGCTGCACGTGGCCGAGAAGAACAAGCTGGGAATCGACAGCGAGCTCCTGGTAAACACACACACACTGGACACACACACACACACACACACACACGGGCAGCATACACACGCGTGTGTGTGTATTGTGTTCATTGCAGGTGTTGTCTCTGCTGATCTCGTCGCACTTCGACACTGCATCGGGAGTGTTCTCGTGCCTCACCGCCAGCATATGGGCCGACACCACCACATACGTCGACATGATGGTATGGTACCCACACACGCACACAGACAGACCCTCACTCGTTCGTTCATCTGGTCTCTCTGGGTGCGGTGCATTGATTGCGTCGAATCGAATCGCTCTGTGTGTCATCCATCCATCAGGTTGACATGCTCAAGAAGAACCCCGGCCTGTGCATCCAGTCGGTCGAGGGCGACGAGGAGGCCATCGTCGAGAAAGACGAATCCGGAAAAGAAATCGACGGTCGGTCAAGCCCCCTCCCCCCTCCCTCCCTCTACGCACACATATGTCTGTCTGTCTGTCTCACTTCTCCCTCCCTCGCAGCCAAGGCGCGCACGTTCATGGTTATGTCGTCGCACCTTGAGCGCCTCGACGACGAGCTGACCAAGGCATTGCAGTTCACGGACGTGCACACGCCCGAGTATGCGGAGCGTCTGGGTCAGTCGCTGGACTTCCTCACCCTCCTGTGGAAGGTGTACGTATGGCTCAAGGACACCGAGAAGACCCAGGAGGTCGTCAAGGTGGCGCTGCGCATACTGGAGCAGATCTACTACAAGTGAGAGGGAGGGAGGGAGGGAGGGAGGGAGATTGGGTGTGATTGATATGTTTGTATCTCTCTATCTTTCTCTCTCTGCGTGTGTGTGTGTGTGTGTAGGCATCGTTCGATAGCGTCGCGTCAGTGGGTGCTGACCAAGAAGAGAGCGCAGGACAAGGGATGGGAAAGCGCAAACCTACTCCCAGACGTACGCAGGCAGCTGATCGACACACGAGCCCCCCCCCCACACACACAGGCCTGCACATGAATGAAGATGTGCACCACGAGTGCGCCCATGCTGAATGCACTGCAGCCCGAGAAAGCGGAGGATGTCGTCAAGGAGCTGGTTCAGCTGGTCTACCAACACGGTGAGTGAGCAGCCAAACAACCTGAAAACAAAGCAAAAGACAAACGAATGTCGCGCGACTCGACTGCCCTCTTGTGTGTGTGCAGGTGACGAGAAAGCCCGACTCCGCGCGATGCTCTACGAGGTGACCTTCACCGCCCACGCCCCCTGCACACACCCACCCACCCCCACCCCCAACACACGCACATCCGTCCATCCCGTCCTGATTGCAGGCCTATCAGCATTCCCTGCACGACCGCTACGACGCCGCCAAGGACCTGCTGCGCCTCACCAACGCGCAGGACCTCGCCATGCAGTATGACGTGTCGGTGCAGATTCTCTACAACCGGAACCTCGTGCAGGCGGGGCTCTGCGCCTTCCGACACGGCAAGATCGCCGAGGCACACGCCAGCCTCATGGAGGTGTGCGCTCAGGCCAAGCTGAAGGAGCTGTTGGCACAGGTGAGCGAGTGAGTGCGTCTCTATCTATCGGTTCGGTTCGACTCGTGTGGTGGGGCGGTCGGCATCTTGCTGTCTGTGTCTGGTTGGTTGGTTGTGTTGATTGTGGGTGCCGGCAGGGTATGTCCAACCTCCGCCCAGAGCAGCGCACGCCCGAACAGGAGAGGGCGGAGAGGCGCCGGCAGCTGCCGTACCACATGCACATCTCGCTGGAGCTCATCGAATCTGTCCACCACATGTAGCCACCACAAGACACACAGAGACAGACAGACAGACAGAGAGAGAGAGAAAAAAAGGCGAGAGAGACGTGTGTGGCTGTGTGTGTGTTCCTGCCTGCCTGCCTGCCTCCTTGTCTGTCTGTGTGTCAGTTGTGCGATGCTGCTGGAGGTTCCCAATCTGGCCATGCAGCCGTACCAGTCGCTCGACACGCGCAAGAGGGTCATCTCAAAGTACTTCAGGAAACAGCTCGACGCATACGAGAAACAGGTCTTCACCGGCCCCCCTGAGAACCCTCGCGAGACCGTCATGGCGGCCACAAGAGCCCTGCAAAAGGGTGAGTGAGGGGAGCCAAGAGCGGCACCAAGTACCTCTCTCTCTCTCGCCGTCTGGGCTGCTTGTGTGTGCGTTAGGCAACTGGCAGGAGTGTTGCGACTACCTGTTTAGCCTGCGGATCTGGGAGCTGCTGCCCAGCAGCAGCGAGGAGGAAATGAAACGCGTCAAGGCCAACGTCACCGAGCACGTCAAGAGGGAGGCCCTCAGGACATACCTCTTCACCGTAAGCTGAGCAGCGGCACCTCACCAGGCTGCAGCGAGCCAAGCAGCCTGGGGTGGCATAGCAGAGAGGGGGAGAGTGAGTGGCGGGCGATTCGGGTGAGTGCTGGATTGATTGGTTTGTGCGTGTGTGCAGTATAGCAGTTTGTATGAGTCGTTCGCGCTCACCCAGCTGTCCAAAATGTTCGACCTGCCCGTCAAGGAAATCCACCGAATCGTCAGCAAGGTCCGTCACACACACACTCCCACTTGAACACACACAAGCCACTCCCTCCCTCCCTCCCTCTGAATGTGTGTGTGTCCATCTTTCTCTCTCTGTCAGATGATGATCTCCCAAGAGATCCCGGCCACCTGGGATGAGTCGTCGGAGTGCATCCTGGTCCACCGCATCGACCCGAACCCCATCCAGTACCTCGCCACACAGCTCGCCGAGCGCGTCGCTCAGACCGTCGAGGTCAACGAGCGCATGGCCGAGTCCAAGAAGGGCCGCGGCCCGCCTCTCGACCGCCCAATGATGTTCTTCCAGGACCGCGACGACCGCTACGCCGAGACGTCATACGAGCGCCGGAGCGGCTATGGCCCCTCTTACGGCGGGGGGCAATACGGCGGCAGGGGCGGCGGCTTCCGGCTTGGCTACCGAGGGGGCTACGGTGGCGGCCGGGGAGAAGGCGGCCGAGGTGGCGGGTTCCGCGGGCGGGGCGGGGGCATTGGCTACGGCTACCGCGGGAGCACCGGGGGCGGCCGGGGGAGAGGGGGGTACTGAGGCGTGTGGTGAGGGGGGTGGGTGTGTTTCAAGCATTCATCGGGTGGGTGAATGGATGGGCGGTGGGGATTTTAATGAGGGGCGATGTGGCCTGTCTGTGAGTGAGCGCATGGTGCGTGGGACGGGCGGCGGGCGGTGTGTGACTCTGTGCTGGGAGTGCGTCGCACTGCTGTCTGCCTGCCTGCCTGCCTGGTTGGCGAGACATTTTTTCATGACACACCTCTCGTGGCTGCAGGATGAAGCGTAAGGTGTGTCGGTCTGAATGAATGGGCGTGTGCGTGTTGGTGAGGCCACACAACAGACACAGCTGACATTAAACATGAACACACTGGTCCTTCCACAGATACATGGACTTGTGTCAGTCGGAGCACACCGTCCACACCTGGACACACCCCTGCACCCTTCACAGTGTGTCCATCTCTTCCTCTGCTGCCGTGGTGAACACGTCTTAACGCGAATCGTCTTAGACACTGAACCAACACGTACACTCACCCACAAAGAACACACCAAGGAGCCGAGTTCTCTAACGCGCAGAGACCTATGGCTTATCGACACAGCACAGTTCACAAGGGGGCGTAGGAGGGGGCAAGAGCAGCAAGCATGAAAGACATGAACAACATGGACACGCCACGCAGGCAGGCTATCTGCCTCTTCTCCTTCTCAGCTCTGCGAGCTGGAGGGCAGCCGTAGCACCGAGCTTCTCTTGCCGAGCGGTGAAGTCTTGCATGCTCATGCACTGCATCATGACCTCCAAATACTTCGGAGTGCCCGGACACCTGTCCACCGCATTCAAACCCTGAACGAGACACACGAAGGAGAGAGAGACACGACAGTAATCGTCTTGTCCTTCGTCTGTTCGTCTGGCGGGGTGTTGTTTACCGCGTTAGATGGGTCGACTTGGCACTGATGGACGCCCTGGCACCAATCCCTCACCCTTTCGGTCACCTCCTCAACACAACTCGTCGAATATCCCTCAGGAGCAGGCAGCGAACCGTCACTCTCCACCGCAAGCACATCCTCCTCAGCCCCGCCCACAGAACTCGCCGCCACGTCCTCAAGCGGCGTCTCGGCCGCGGCGGCCGACGGCCGACACACAGAAAAGCCCTCCGTCCTGCCCCACACCGCCCTCTCAATAAACAGAACCTCATCTCTTGAACAAGACAACGACTTATCCACTGCGTTCGGGCAGACAATTCTCTGCTGAATGGCAGAGGAGAGGCCTGGCGGGGACTACCCTGGAGGGGCCCTTGCTGGTCTGTCGGTCGCTTCAGCGTCTCGCCTGCACACAGCGGGCAGGTCTTGGTCGCAGGGGACCTCGGCAAGGAGGAAGAGAGGCGACCCGGCGTCCTGCGGGCCCCACCTCAGCTGCCCACACCCCCACTGAATGCCGGCACTCCGCCTCCTGTCTCTCTCGATAAGTGACAGGTGCCAGAAGGGGGTGGGGGTGACCGGCGAGAGGGCCGCTCTTCTGTCGTGCCCGTGCCTTTGTGCTTGGTTGACTTGTATGGTCGAAGAGACGTTGTTGAAAGCCGGGTCGGTGAGGCGGTCTGGCAGGGGTCCGAGGTGCTGCGGCGGGAGTGATCCTGGGTGGGGGTCGAGTGGCGACTGCCAGCCGGTGCCGGCCGTGCCGCCATGGTCGATGGCCGCCTCGTAGTGCCGTTTCGCGCCCACCCAGCAGCCTTGGCTCCTGATACATGCATGGATGTGTTCCAAGCCAGATGAGCAGAGAAAGGGAGAGGGAGAGTTTTCTGTCTGCTGTGGTATTCTTTCTGATCGACCTGACTGACCTGCATATTTGTGTGAGGACAAAGTAGGCCTCCTGGGGGGAGGCCACGCTCGCGAGATAGCTCTGTGTGGGTGGGTTGAGGATGTCGTCCTTCGTACAGGCCTCCCCGCCCTCAGCGAAGCTCATCTTCATGCCCGGGTGCGCCACCCGCCAGCAGGAGTACTCCTTCTCAACGCCCTTGAGACACCGTCCGGCACCGAACAGGCTGCCGGCCTCGCTGCCCTCTGACAGAGGGCTCCTGGTCTTGACGAGCGAGCCTGTGGGGGCCTCGTTGAGCGCCAGGTAGAAGATGTCCTCGGGCTCGTTTGTGAGGTGCGCGCGCTTGTCGGAAGGGTCGCCGCCGCGAGAACAGATCTCGCCGCACAGGTGGGCCTCAAACTGACAATGGCGTGTAGAGAAAGACACATAGACACACCAGGTGGGCACCAGGTCTGTGTCTGTGTCTGTGTGTGTGAGTTGTCACCCCGTTCGAGTCGGCGCTGTCGAGCCGCACTGAGACGGCGTGTGTCTCGCGGACAGTCGGTGGCACTGCGAACAGGTGGGGCTTGCTGTGGCTGGTGAAAACGATCGACCTGTCTGCTTTGGGGAACTCCACACGCCTTCTCTGGCCGTCGATGCCCTTGCCGTCGTATGGGACCGCCATGTACTCCCTGTCGGCGAACAGACCGAAAGGCACCTTTCTCTCCCCCCCAACAGTGGGCGCCATCGCCATCCACCCCACAACCTCATCCTGGTGCTCTCTTCCAGCCGACGGGCCGCCAAGGGTCACCTTGTCGTCTTGCAGCGCCATCCAGAAGCCGTCTTCGTGGGTCTTGTTGATGCGCACCACTAGGTAGCCCCCCTGCAAGTATGACTGCACTTGAGCGATGACCACGGGAGGCGCGTCGAACCGCTCGGGAAAGACGACCCACTGGAAGGCGCCGTCGCCGCGGACCTTTGTAGCGCCCACATGGAAGGGCAGCTTCAGCGTGGAATGTGCGTGTGCAGCAGATGTGTCGGTGGTGGGGTCGTATGGTGGTGCGGCGATGAAGCTGCCTCGGTCGATGGCGAGGATGTCGACCGTCTCGGGGTCGTGCTGCTTGTCGCGGCAAGAGGCCTCCTCCACACGAGCATCGAAGCACCAATGGTCCGGGGACGGGCACCTACAAGACACACACACACACACACAGAGAGAGAGAGAGAGATCGACGCGTCAGTGGGTGATCAACTCAAAGACTCACTTATAGTCGGTGCTTTGCCCCCTTCGCAGGTGTTTCAGCCTCCCCACAGCCTCGGTCGAATCACGATTGAAGGCCGGGCCCAGAAACACAACCGGCGGCAGCAGGTCAGCAAACTCGTCCGCCGCAGCACTGGCCGACGCCCCCTCCCCATGTAGAGTGCGGCGGAGCAGCACCGTCGTCCACTCGCTTGACAGCTTCAACCGGCCGCTCTCGCCGATGGTGACGAGCGCCGAGGGGGTGAATGGCTGCACGGGCTCGACGGCGATGTTCTCGCCGGGCAGCATGAGGGGGTAGTTGCTGTAGGGGACGTTCTCGAAGGCGCTGGGGGCGACAGCGAGGGCGGCGACGGTCGTGCCGTAGGGGAGGGACACCGTCCGTTCGGATTGCGAGGTCGGGGCCGTCTCGACGTCGGTGCTCTCCTCGAAGCCCGTGGCGCATCCGTGATCCTGACCGTGGTGAGACATGAACACATGGGGGCGATTGATGGATGGATGGATGGCTTCTCTCACCTCATAGACGACTTTGGCGTGTTGGCCGTCGACGTCATTGGCCCTGAGTGACGCGGGGTTGTGCTCGACATCCACAGGGGGCGGGTCAGAGTACTGCGGGGCGAGGAAGAGCATTGGGTAGCGGTTGACCAGGGTGTCGTGCTCCTCGTCCAAGAAGGGCCGGGGATACACCAGCGACAGATGCTCGCCGCCCTTCTGCAAGTCTTCGCGGGTCTAACCAACACAGATGCATGGCGGCGAGAAAGCTGCCTGTCTCTTGCTTCTGTGCTGTGTGTGTGTCTGTATAGGTGTGTACCACTTTGAATGCAGTGAATGTCCGCCGGCCGAGGTGCCCCGATGTGGCGGCGTCGAGGGCGATGTAGCCGACCCGCTCGGTGGGGTGAGGGATGGACCGGCCCACCTGAACAACAGCCACCCAATCATTGGCATGGATGGATCTCGAGAGAGAGAGAGATACCCTCCCTCCCTCCTCACCTCTGTGAGGGAGACATCCTTGAGGTTGAGCTTGAAGTTGTGGTCAGTGACGTTGACGATCCGCGTCTCGACGTAATCCGTCCCCTCATTCGTTTGCAGCTGACCAAAGCCAACAGAGACACAAGGCATATACTGACTGATTCATGCCGTGTGCATGGGATGCGCTGCTCCTGGCCCACTTGCCTGTGTGAGGACTAGTGGTGGCGTGCCGAACGGCGCCTTGAGTGAGACGGCGTGCATGTGTTTGTCGCCGACGACATCGGCCACATTGGCTTCCACAGTCAGCCCCTCCATGGTGCGATACCGACCTGCCTGCAGAGCGATCCAGCTGACGTGCACACGGGCTGCGGCCTTCGACTTGCGACAGGGGCTCGCCTGACCGACCATCGACCAGCCAACCCATGACGCAACCAGGAATATTACCCCCCACCGCTCCCTCTCTCTCACCGACCTGCAGCTTGATATCAAAGCACCATGTGCCGACGTTGTCCGTGTCCAACGAGGTCCCCTGCGCAGATATCCCGCCGGCATGCATAAAGCGGCTCCCTCCCGGCGTGCACGAAGGGTCCGACGCAGACGCAGGCCGCACATTCCTGATCCTTGGCAGCGGCAGCCCCTTGACAGGCCCGGGGAAGGCCAGCACGACGGGATAGGTGTAGACCTGCTGCAGCCTGACGGTGACCCAGCCTTTCTCCTTGAAGAGTGCTGTTGTTGTTTCGGCCTCATCGGTGCCGGTGTGGAGGTCGCTGCCGCCCGGGTGGCCAAGGGTGAGGAAGAGGGAGCCCGTTTCGCCGATGGGGATCTGGCCGGCCTGCGTGGCCGCCTCGAAGTCGCTCGGAGGGGGAATCGCCGTCGGCTGGAAAGCTGCATGCCATGTATCAGACATGAGACACGACGCTTCTGCGCTCCTTGCTGCCTTTGTTCCTATTTCGGCTCACTGTCCGCAACCACCTCCAGTGGCGCGCTGTCCTTCTCCTCATCCAGAACAAAGTACCCCACTGTCTCATTGTAGACCCTGCCGCTCCCCACCTCCCCGCCATCCCGCAGTGTGCGCTCCACCGTAAGGTTCGCCGTCTTGTGTGACCGGTGGCCCGCCCTCACGTGGAGGGGGGTGGTCTCGCGGTAGGTCAGGATGGAGGCCAGCACGTGGGGGCTCGTGGTCTTGCCGAAGTGGTTCCTCCGCCGCCGGTTGCCGCCTCCGAGACGCTCTTCCTCGGAGGTGACCGTATCCGTTGTGCCTTCTGCACCGGAGGCGGTCGGGGGCGCTGATTCGCCGTCTTCGGGTGGGAGCTCTTCATCGTGTGGCGGAAACTTGCCGATGGGGACAACCCTGTCATTTGCCACGTGCTGACACACACCAGAGAGAGAGGACAGAAGGATGGAGGGTCCG